CTACTAATAATCTAACATATTCCTAGAATATGAAGTGAAAAGAGTAGGATAATAAGTGATGTTGACAGCAGTATCTCATACTTGAAAAAATAAGCATAGTAAATAAAATCAAAGAAATATATAAAAATATGAGTAGTAGTTACCCGCATGGGGGGGGCAGTTAGGTAGATAATTAAATATTTATCCATTATACAAACTTTATATAATGAGGATGCAATTGGCAAAGCAAACCAGTGCTAGAAAATATGAAGAGTATTTTTTTAAAAAAGATTTTTATTTATTTGTCCATGAGAGACACACGGAGAGAGGCAGAGACACAGGCAGAGGGAGAAGGGAAGCCCGATGCGGGATTCAATTCCGGATCCCGGGCTCACGCCCTGAGCCAAAGGCAGACACTCAACTACTGATCCACTCAGGGGCCCCGAAAATGTACTTTTTTTTTTTTCCTGTGGAGTCTTTCTTGGGCCTGGTATTGGTTCCTCCAATTTAAAAAAATCCACTTTGCTACTGTTGTCATACATATCACTCTGTATTGCGATTACTGCTTTAAATCCCTATCTCTCCCCCACACTAGACTGACTTCCTTTAGAGCAGGGATCAGGCCACTGATCTTTCCAACTCTGCTATTTCTTACTATTCCTGGCACACAGTTGCTACAAAATAAATGTTTGTTGTTGCAAATGAAGCATTTCGTCCCTAAAAACTTTATGACAAGGGTTTTCTTGTTACCAAGGAGTTTTGAAATTCTTCCTAGTCACAGAAGAGTTCCTGAAATCAAAGGAAAAGACAGTAGCAGAAACTAATATCCTCTGACATTAGTGATAATGCTGTAGGGATCAATCAGAGAAAAGAAATAATTTTATAAGCACCCAGGGTATGAATGCATATGTTGCTTTTTCAAAAAAAAAATTATCTATTCATGAGAGACACAGAGAGTGAGGCAGAGACACAGGCAGAGGGAGAAGCAGGGACTCCCCTGCAGGGAGCCCGGGCAGAGGGACTCGATCCCAGGACCCCGGGGTCACGTCCTGAGCCGGAGGCAGACGCTGAACCACCAAGCCACCCAGGTGTCCTCTCCACTGCTTTTTTGATGTCAAACAAAGACTCTTGCCTTGCCCAAGGAGGTCATGTTCTTTCTGAGCAGGAGTGTTTGAAGCTGGGTAGGTAAAGAGACTGCAATGAATAACCACTGAAGAACAGCAGGAACACAGTAGGATAAAAGCCCTGGAAGATGCTGAGAGCCCAGCTCATTCTCTGGACAGGGAAGATGATAAAATTTCAATTATATGCTTCATAAAATATCTTCTGGAGCTAAAAATCATAATCACAAGTGCAAACCTGACTCACAAAACCCAGCCCTAAAATACACTATAATGTAGATTTCCACATATGTAGGTTCTTAAGCGAAAACCAAAGTTCTCTGGAAAATAACCCCAGTGGTGTATTATGATCAAACCCAACCCACAAAGGTTAGAGGCGTCTGACCCTGAGGTGCTTTGTGTGCTGCTGCGGACGCCCCACGAGTGGGGAGCCTTGCCTGCATGTGCTGGAGAAGGCCCCTAGGGAAGACCCAGCAACCGGGAACTGGTAATTGTGTGTGCCCGGGACTTAGCTCCAGTAATCACCATGACTACAAATGAAGAGGGGAAATCATCCAGCAATTCATCCTAATTTGTGCAATGGTCTCTAAAAGAGGCAAACAAGAGGATGATTCTGAAAAAAAATCATGGTACAAGACTATCCCGGAGTGATTTGGAAGGGTACCCGAAGTGCCCACAACAGAGAAGTGATAGACCCAGCGGGTACGGAGTTAAGGGGCCGCAGAAAAGATGCTACAAGAAGGAAGACAAAAACTGGATCATTTTTTTGGAAACTGTTCAACTCCAAGGAGATGCAAAAAATTCTGTGGGTGAGTCAGCCTGGAAATAACGAGAAAGAGAGTCTATAAAGTTCATAGAAGCTAGGGCTTAATAATACCCCAGAGGAAATTATGTAGCAAAAAGCAAATGCCAGTGCATTTGTTTGATAACATCCATTAGTGCAAACTGTCTGGCAGAAACAAGCAACAGGCATCAAAATATCTTGATTTGAAAGTCAGCATGGAAAAAATGGATGAGCTCTTCAAAGAGCAAATATATATGGCTCATCTAAGATCAAACAATAAATGACTCTAATCCATGCTTGGTAATTCTCAATATATTTTGTTATTTAAAGCCGGGCCTACAATAAAAGCAGATGGACATTAAGGAGTTCGAAGCAAAAACAGTCAAGAAATGAGCGGAGAACCAAATAATAATGCAGAAAGGAAGACTTTTAGGGCAAACTGGCCTAGGGCAAGGGCTAGGATAAATGAAATTAAAGTTCTGAAAAAAAATTTTTTAATATTAAAAAGCTATTTCTTTAGTCAACATGTCCAAAAAGTATACCGTAAGAGGTCTCGAATAATGCATCACGACAATCTAAACACTGCTAAAGCCATGTAATTTGTCATAATTAAGAACTGAAATCAGCCAAATGTTCCACAACAGGGGCATGGTAAGTCCAACTGTGACACATCTATGGCTTGGATATTATGCAGCTTCTAGTAATTCTATGCAGTAACGTGGAATAGACTCATGACAAGGCTCAACATGAATGTTAGTTTTTACGGAATGGGTTATGGAGCGAAAGTAATAATATATAGAGTTGTAAAAACAGATTTTTCTTAATTACATTTAGATTCTCAGGAAAAAGGTTGCAATTAAACTTAAATTTGCTTTGGAAATATATATTTAATATATATTTATATTATATGTTTATATATATTAAATATATATATTATATATATTAAATATATATAAATATTTTATTAGTAGCACCCTCACAGGGCTCTAAACACTCTCCAAGCAGCAAAGTAAAGCAAAGCAAGTTCCTGACTTATAACTCTAAAGCTTAATAACAGCCTTAGTGAAATATTGCAGAGATAAGAGACGCCCCCACCCCCCCGCCCCGAGAGGCTCTCTGTAGCTCACACGATGCCTGCCGTTCTCTGCCAGTGTTTCTAGAAGTCACCAAGTATGTACCACGTGTAATGCCTCAAGAAAGAATATATATATTCCCTTATAGGAAGAAAACCACCAAGTCTTGATGTATCCCAATTTATGACTTTGTCTTAGAGCTAGCCAAGGGAATCTAAAAACTACAGAAAGTGAATCCCAATTGAATGAAGGCTTTGGCTGGGGCCAGCACAGTGCACTTTCCTGATGATCAATTTGCCTAAAAGCATTTCAAGAAAGATCCATTCCCCTTGGGAGTTTCTGTATCTATTTGCATTCCTTGTCCTTTTCTGATGCTTCTTTGTCATTTTGGGATTATTAAACGAATTCCTCTACAGGCGTATTTTATTTCTTTCATATTTTTAAATAAATAGCTCTTAAAGGAGCATTGATTTATATCTGTATATTCTTATCTACTTTATTAAGTACTCTTAATTTTTTTTTAAGATTCTATTTATTTATTTCAGGAGGGAAGGGGCAGAGGGAGAGGGAGAGAGAAACCCAAGCAGCCTCTGTGCTGAGCACCGGACGGACTGAGAACTCCATCCCACAACCCTTTAGACTAGACACGAGCTGAAACTGAGAGTTGAACACTGAACTGACTGAACCTCCCAGGTGCTGCTGAAGAATTTTTAAAGCTCATCTAAGTGAAGAACCTTTCTTCAAGGGATAATTTTTTATTTTTAGGATACCTCACAGATGCGACAACACTAAAAAAAGGTTTTTAATTATAGGGAGACAGCTTTTATGCAACTTTAAAATATTTGGTTTTGTTGAAGTATTTAAATTTATTTAATTTTAACTTCATAAAAAATTCAAAGACCCTAACAGTAAATTTCAATTATGGAGAAGGATTAGGGTTATATGAAAATCACTTGGGGAGTGAGTCCAACTATACACATTGGCATCCTCTCCTAGATTCTAGAGGTCTTGGGATGACTGTCATATTTCCTTGCTGCTGATAAAAAAACAAACAAAACTTCCAAAAGAAATGAAATCGGCCTTTTGCTTCCCATTCACTCCTGACCATATTATGGCTGTTGATCCCTTCATGATTATTTATATATATATATATAATCTGTATATTTATATATACATATATATTTATAAATTTATCATATATATTTATATCATATATATCTGTATATTTTTATATATATATTTATTTTATTCATTTATTTTAGCGAGAGGGGCATGGCAGGAGGGAGAGAATCTTAAGCAAACTCCACACCCCAAGCCTGGAGCCTAGAGCTTGACATGGGGCTTGATCTCACAACCCTGGGATCATGACATGAGCCGAAATCAAGAGATGCTTAACCGACTAAGCCACCCAGGTGCCCCAATTCACAACACGTATTTTTTAAAGATTTATGTACTTATTTATTTGAGAGAGCAGAGAGAGAGAGAGAGAGACAGAGAGAGAGAGAGAGCACAAGCTGGGGCGGGGGCAGACGGGAGGGGCAAAGGCCGGGGGAGAAGCAGGCTCCCCACTGACCAGGTGACCTGAAGTGCGGCTCGATCCCAGGCCCCTTAGATCACAACCTGAGTGGAAGGCAGACACTTAACTGACTGAGTCACCCAGGTGTCCCCCAGTTCACAACACATTTTCAAGAGTTCATTAATCAAATGAAAACAGTGCTCGTGAAAGTTAAGAACTGATTCTGAACATCATAATTTTGTCGTTAAAAGAAAACTCCTACTTGGAGTCACATCATCAAATTCTGTATCGTGAGGTTCTAATTCACAGCAGTACACCTCCTTCGGTGCAAAGAAGACCAGAAAAATATTTCACTAGAGAAAATGTTTTCGAGAGGAAAGGCCACATGCAACAAGTAAGCTTTTTGATTGTTTGATATTTAAACCTGGAAACGTTTGGGCAGACCGACCCCGCAGGCCTGAGCCAGTGAGGCCAGCAGGCACCCTCCACGCACACCCCGTTCTTAAGCAGGCACCCTAGTGACTCACCGGCAGGGCAAAATCCGGACGACATCATTGGGCTTGTACCCTTCAATGCAAACTGCACAGTTATCAAAATCGGGCTCTGTTTCCTGCAACAGAGAAAGCACACAGGAGCTCACTTGTGTTGCCTTAATTCTTGTGTAAATACGCAAACGAGCAAGGAGAGCTTGCTTGGAGCAAGGCTTTCAATTGTCTACGTGCCATTTTTCTTAACCGATATTGACTCTATGTATATTGGCTCAGGTTCCATTCCTTCCAACCTCTACTTTTTGTTTCTGGGTTCCGTTGCAAGTGCTTTTGTGAGGGAACAATTTTTTAAATGTATCGTCACTAATAATGCTATTTATAGTATGATCGCGAGAAAGCAATTTTTAAACGTATCATGACTGGGAATGCTACTTATTCTAATTAGAAGTGACATCAGAATCTCAAGGATGAGAAATACTATTTATGGAGACCTGTCTGAATGATACTTAGTCTATCAGTTCCTTGGGAGTCTTATCTATACAGCCCTAGACCATGGCTTTAAACTTTTTATGCAAAACAAAAAACAAAAAACAACAATTTTTTATGCAAGTACATAAATCTCTTTCAAATAGCCCATCATATGTTTCTTACGTGGTAGTCCCTGTTCTTTTATATTCTTTCGAGGGGAAAAAAGTAATGAAAAATATTCTTTAGATTTAGTAATGCTTTTAAATGAATGTCATCTTATGAAGCTCAATGGTATTTTTATCTAGTTGAAAAACAGCAGCACATAGTGAGACAAATCAAGGATTCAGACTGAAGACAACACCTGGTAGAGATGTAGGTGTGAATCCCTTACAATGCCCCAAGGAACAGCAAATATGTGTCACCGTAATCCGCTGCTCTAAAATCTCTTCTGGGGAGAAGAAAGACCTTTAGAGGTCTCCAGGCCTTGGGCTGCGCTGCTTTGTTGCTCCTTCTCAAGATAGGCTTCTGCTTCTGCTGCGGTTGTAGCAGCATTCTTTACAGTGGCCAAGATATGGAAGCAGCCCAAATGTCCATTGATAGATGAATGGATAACGAAGATGTGGTGCATATACGGATAATGGGGTTTTCTATAAAGTGGAACCTGTTAATCATTCATATAATGGAATATTACTCAGCCACAAAAAGGAATGACATCTTGCCATTTGCAATAGCATGGATGGATCTAGAGGGTATTATGCTAAGGGAAATACGCCAGTCAGAGAAAGACAAATAGCATATGATTTCACTCACATGTGGAATTTGAGAAACAAAAGCAATGAACAGAGAAAAGAAAGAAAGAAAGAAAGAAAGAAAGAAAGAAAGAAAACAAACAAACCAGACTCTTAAATACAGAGGACAAACTGGTGGTTGCCAGAGGGGAAGCAGGTGGGGGGATGGGTGAAATAGATAAAGGGGATTAGGAGTACACTTGTGTTGACGAGCACTGAGAAATGTAGAGAATTGTTGAGTCATTAGGTTGTACACCTGAAACTAATGAACTAACATAACACTGTACGTTAATTATACTTGAATAAAAAGAAAAAGATAGGCTTTGCTCTTGGCTTCATGTCTTCATTCTACAGCAAGGGAGCCTACTAGGACTTTGGGGTTCTAGATGCTAGATTTCAGACGGACTGAATATGCTTTCTGTACTTGCTACATAGATCAGTGGAGGACATCACTCAACATATAACACTGTCTTCCCTGCAAGGATTTAGGGAAAATTTCCCAAAACGTAACCCCAGGAATAACCATTTTGTTTTCACCTTCTGGATACCGGGATAAGGTGATTAAATGTTGTTTGAATATTTCTTCCTTTTTTGCATTGGCTGCAAAGAATGGATCCCATCCCTAAGTTTGGGATCCATTTCTTTTGTTGTTGTTGTTTGTTTTTTGGGTTTTTTGTTTGTTTGTTTTTGGGAATCCACTTTTATTACACATTTAAGGTAATGCATTCGTGTGAAAATTTCTTCCTAGCTTCCCCTATTTTTCCTATACTTACTTTTCAGTTTTTTATATTTTCTTCCCAGCTATTTTGTTGTTCTATTGTAAGCATTTTATAGTTTTAAATTCTATTTAATAAAGATGGGTATAATATCAGACATTTACAGGAGAACTATTTTCGTGTACTCTTTTCCCATCCTTCCCTCCCTTCCACCCTGGCTGCCAGAAAAGTCAGGAACTTTTTTGAATAGACACTCATCAGAAAGAGAAGAGGCTGTTACCTTGTCACCCTTCTTGATGGTTCTGACCTGGAGCTTGCTGATCGCTTTCTTTGCTGCATCTCCCAGTCGGCGCTAAAAAGACCAAAAACTGCTTGTTAGTAATAAAGATGTGTAATTCTTGACTTCGTTTCTGATGGCATTTAATAAGTCGGGGCAGTTATCTCTGAAATCACGCACAAGTGGCATGAGTGTTAAGGAAAATGGCCAGAGAGACAGGGCAGTGACACCTGTGCGACGTAGCTCCAGGACTCGAGGTCTATTCAAGGGCTCAGTCACTGAGAGACGCTCTTCACGCCCAGGCTTAAGCAAGGGGCAAATGACGTGGAAAAACCCTGCCCTGCAGTGACCCCAGGGCAGGTTACACTTATGCAGACCAGCACCCACACACAAGTTGAGTAGTTTGCCACGCTAGCCATTTAATTTGTGACAAGGAGATAGCCAATGTCCTCTCTTTCACAATCAAGGTTTATTACTTATGTATTTCTTTCAATTTGGAGTTCTAAGAATTTCCTTTGCTTATATTTCTCTGTACTATCCTATTTCATCACATTCTTACATGCCAATTTCACCTCTTTCTTTTTTTTTTTTTTAAGATTTATTTATTTATTCCTGAGAGACACAGAGAGAGAGAGAGAGAGGCAGAGACACAGGCAGAGGGAGAAGCAGCCTCCCTGCGGGACTCGATCCCGGACCCTGGGATCACGCCATGAGTGAAAGGCAGACGCTCTACCGCTGAGCCCCCCAGATGCCCCCAGTTTCACCCCTTCTACGTAAGCTTGCATGTGGGTGTGCCTATAGAAAAATACACAAAACATACCTGTTCAGCTTAGCAAATAATTATAAAGCAAACACCTGTGCAACCACCATTACTCATGTCAAATAATATATTAGCACTCCTTAAAAAAATTTTTTTTGATAGAGAAAGTTGCTATCCTAATGAGCCCTGCAATCATGCAATGATAGGGCAGTGAGGAAGAAGAGAGAGGGGGAGGGTGGTGAATTAAGTTGTCATCTGTCAAGATTTGCTTGTGTGCTTGTGAGTTACCTAACGTAACGTCTCCTTCTTAGGTTTGTGCACTACCATCCTGTGGTAGATGCGTATTTGCAGCAGTGCAACATATTTGAAGGACTATGAGAAACAAGACAAACATTTACATGGAATAATCACTTGCTTTCGGTAATTTTGTTCCTTTTAGAAACAACACTCAGGCTTCTTTCTTTTCTCTAAATTATGAACATACACCAGTGGATGGTTAACATATCCAAGTGCCATGCTAAAACTTTACATGCAATATCACCTTTATTCTTACAACAACCCCACAAGAAAAAAAATACTATGTTTTAGAATGAACTGAGACTTATAGAGCTTAAGTAAATTGTTTATCATAATCAACGAAAGGTCGGTCAGAATCTGAAAAAAATTAAAGTCTGACTTGAAAGCTAAAGCTAAACACCACTCTCACTACTCAGTGAACCACCCCATCAACAAACCAGCCAGTCATCCAACCAACATCTCCCCAGTCAGCCAGCCAGCAATCTGACATTTGGCCAATCAGCCAACCAACCTGTATCTAACGAGTAGCCAGTCAATCTACCAATCACTGAGCAGCCAACCAACATCTGGCCACCAGGTAACCAGCCAACCAGCCATTCAGCCAGCCATTCAAGCAACTAACCAACCCAAATCTATTAAGCATTTATCATATGGCTCTTCCTTGAGCATATGGTGGTGAAAGTAGTAAGTAGGAGAGAGGTGTTCTCCTTGTTGATTGATTTTCTCAGTATCTAAAATGATTTTGTCCTCAGCTTCTAAAATGATCCTGTTATTTTGAAGAGGAAAGTAAGTTTGGCTGTTACCTAAAAGGAGACCTACACACACTTGAGATTTATGGAGAAGTCCACGAGTAGCTAGCAAACTAAGGCAGCAGGAAAAACAGTCTACAGTAAAACTACCACGGTGGCAGGTGATCGAGTGAGAGGGAAAAACCCTGAGATGAAAGTGAAAAGCAGGGGACTCTCTGTCCCCTCTTCTTCCTTTAATTACTGCCTAATCTTTTGATCTCAACTAAGGCCACTTCTTCAGGGAACTCTTGCCCCATGTCTCCCAAGAGAGAAGATCTTTCCAATCAGTCTATACCTTCTGGAACCTGGTCCCTCGCTTCATAGCACTGTCGTAACATTTGCAATTTGATATTTGTTTTTGTGATGGATCCTATTTAATTTCCCTTCTGTAAACTCCCCGAGGGCCAGATTGTGTTTATTTTTGCTTCTCACGGTGTCCCAGCACCTAGCATAAAGCGGTCTTTGATAACTGATGATCATTCGACATGTATTCTGGATCACTTATTTGGTCCCAGGCACAGCTCTGGGTTTTGGAAAGAGTGGTAATGAAAGGCAGCGGTGGGGGTGGAGGGGTGGGCGGTGCTGGTTGGCTTAGTCTGTAGAGCATGCAACTCTTGATCTCAAGGTCATAAATTTGAGTCTCACGTTGAGGGTATAGAATACTTAAAGTTCAAAAAATCTTTTGAAAAAATGGTAGTGAAAAAACCCCCCATAAATTCCTGCTTTTTTTTTTTTTTTTAGCTTACAATAGCTTGCACCATAAATGGCTGATGAGTGAATAAAACCTTAATCAAAAGATTTTTTTTTCCTAAAGCATGGAAAACCATCTGAATTTAGCCAGTTAACGGGAAAATTAATGGACAAACTATAAGCGACACATGTGGTAAGTAGACAAATCTGTGATCCTGGCCTTGGCAAAACCAGTCAGTCTCAACGAAGAGCTGCTTTTCATTGAAGAAGCCTGGAGCAGGAACGGAAAGGAATTGAGAAAGGGCTACTAGTTACCAGAGTAAGTGCAACAAACCTGCAGAACATTACACTTAGAATAAGAAATCTGGGGGATCCCTGGGTGGCGCAGTGGTTTGGCGCCTGCCTTTGGCCCAGGGCGCGATCCTGGAGACCCGGGATCGAATCCCACGTCGGGCTCCCGGTGCATGGAGCCTGCTTCTCCCTCTGCCTGTGTCTCTGCCCCTCTCTCTCTCTCTCTCTCTCTCTCTCTCTCGCTCTCTCTCTCTCGCTCTCTGTGTGACTATCATAAATAAATAAAAATTAAAAAAAATTTATAGAATAAGAAATCTGGACCCAAATAAACACATGTTGATTGTTTTTCAGTCAAGAGCTCAGATGTTTTTGCAACTGTGTTTAATTATATAATATCTGGCCCCAACAGAATCACTTCAACTGTTTTTTATTTTCAAAGACTAAGGAGACCAATTAAGCAACAAGTATTATTTTCAAACAATGATCACAGATTATACTCAAAGGAAGATCAACATTTTTTAAGGAGGTGAACCAGAGATTATTCTTTTTTCAAAATTTAATCTTATTTAAAACAATTTTTAAGAAAAAGTTTTCATAAATTTTTATTGTTGAAATTTGAAACATAATTGAGTACAATTTTTTTTTTGTAGTGTTAAGTCTACTAATGAAGAGAATGAAATTGGTTTTGGTGAGAGTAACATTTCATTTAACTGGGGTTCAGAGCTAGTGTTTCCTATCATCAGAATCACTTACAGATCTATAATGAGATTTTATGTACTATATTGAGTAATAAGTGTTTTCTATGCATAATTCTATGTGATAGTACAAGAGCAAAATAATGAAATATAAGGCATAACCCCTATTCTCATGGAATTTATCATCTATTTGTAAAATTACCATTGCAGTGGGAGAGCTACTTTAATATAGGACTAAATAGTGCTTCCTAAAGCAATATTGCTTTAGGAAGAGAGATGAAATAATTCATTGCAAAAAAAAATAATTCATTGCAAATACCTAAAATAATTTTTAAGACAACTTATACAGTTCTGAGGAAGGATACCAATAAAAGAGCGAAGCCAGGCACATCTGGAATTTTTTAAGAAAGTCGGTAGTGTAGCTTATACGAACTTATACTTTCAATATTCATTTTCTTTTTCATGTTACCATCTCTTAGTATTCTGTTACTTCACTATATAATAGTTATTTTTTGACACAATCCAAGAGGAATTGCACTTTTTAAAAAGTTTTCATTTTAATCACCCATAACAGCAAGTGCACTCTTTAATTTCTATCACTCATTCCTCTCATCCCCTTACCCACTTTCCGAGAACCACCTGTTTGTTCTCTACGGTCAAGAGACTACATCTTGGTTTATCTCTCTTTTTTCCCTTATTTGTTTTGTTTCTTAAATTCCACACATGGAATTTATGTGATATTATAGGATTATATGATATTTGTTTTTATCTGACTGATTTATTTCACTGAGCATAATACTCTCTAGATCCATCAATGTCATTGTAAATGGCAAAGTTTTCCATTTTTTGGCTGAATAATATTCCATTGCATCTATATGTCACGTCTTCTTTATCCATTCACCTATCAATGGACACTTGTGCTGCTTCCATATCTTGGCTATTGTATATAATGCTGCTATAAATGCAGGGTGCATGTGTCCCTTTGAATTAGTGTTTTTGTATTCTTTGGATAGATACCTAGTAGTCCAGGGTCATATGGTCATTTTATTTTTAACTTTTTGAGAAGCCTCCATACTGTAGCTGCACCAAGTTTGCATTTTCACCAACATGGCAAGAGGGTTTCCTTTTTCCACATCCTCACCAACATTTGTTGTTTCTTGTGTTTTTGATTTTAGCCATTCCAATAGATGTGAGGTAGTACCTCACTGTAGTTTTGATTTGCATTTCCCTGATGATCAGTGATGATGAACATCTTTTTATGTGTCTGGTGGCCATCTGTAGGTCTTCTTTACAGAATGTCTGCTTTTGTTTTCTGCCCATTTTTAAATCAGATTGGTTTTTGGGTGTTGAGTTTTATAAGTTCTTTGTATATATTGGATACTAATCCTTTCTCAGATATGTCATTTGCAAGTATCTTCTCCATTCCATAGGTTGCCTTTTAGTTTCATTGACTGTTTCTTTTGCTGTGCATTTTTTTATTTTCATGTAGTTCCGATGTTTGTTTTTTGCCTCCCTTATCTCAGGGGACCTATCTAGAAAAAAAAAATCGCCAAG